CGCGAGCAGACAAGTAAGAGTGCGGGCGGCGTCTTAACCCTGCGCTCCCCGGAGCGGACCGGTGAGGAGGGCGCCGAGGGGAGGGCGGCCCGCGGGCGCGCGCGCTCTTAGAGAAACTTTCCTCGCCAAAGGCCCCGGGAGGCGCGGGTGCCCCCCGCTTGCCAGCGCGCTGTTGCGGCCCCGAAACTTCTGCGTGCAGCCCAAACGAACCCCACGTGAAGTGACGGACTGTTCTATGACTGCAAAGATGGAAACGACCTTCTACGACGATGCCCTCAACGCCTCGTTCCTCCCGTCCGAGAGCGGTGCCTATGGCTACAGTAACCCCAAGATCCTGAAACAGAGCATGACCCTGAACCTGGCCGATCCGGTGGGCAGCCTGAAGCCGCACCTGCGGGCCAAGAACTCGGACCTCCTCACCTCGCCCGATGTGGGGCTACTCAAACTGGCGTCGCCCGAGCTGGAGCGCCTGATCATCCAGTCCAGCAATGGGCACATCACCACCACGCCGACCCCCACCCAGTTCCTGTGCCCCAAGAACGTGACGGACGAGCAGGAGGGCTTCGCCGAGGGCTTCGTGCGCGCTCTGGCCGAACTGCACAGTTTTCAGCCCCAGCAGCAGCAGCCGCCACCGCAACCGCCGCACCACCTGCCCCAGCAGATCCCGGTGCAGCACCCGCGGCTGCAGGCCCTAAAGGAGGAGCCGCAGACGGTGCCTGAAATGCCTGGGGAAACACCGCCCCTCTCCCCCATCGACATGGAGTCCCAGGAGCGGATCAAGGCGGAGAGGAAGCGCATGAGGAACCGCATCGCTGCCTCCAAGTGCCGGAAAAGGAAGCTGGAGAGAATTGCCCGGCTGGAGGAAAAAGTGAAAACCTTGAAAGCGCAGAACTCCGAGCTGGCGTCTACAGCCAACATGCTCAGGGAACAGGTGGCACAGCTTAAACAGAAAGTCATGAACCACGTTAATAGTGGGTGCCAACTCATGCTAACGCAGCAGTTGCAAACGTTTTGAGGAGAGACTGTCGGGGGCTGAGGGACGACGGAGAAAAAAAAATAACAGATACAGACTTGAGAACTTGACAAGTTGCGAGAAAGAGAGAGAGAGAGAGAGAAAAGAAGTGTCCGAGGACTAAAGCCAAGGGTATCCAAGTTGGACTGGGTTGCGTCCTGACGGCGCCCCCAGTGTGCACGAGTGGGAAGGACTTGGCGCGCCCTCTCTTGGCGTGGAGCCAGGGAGCGGCCGCCTGCGGGCTGCCCCGCTTTGCGGACTGGCTGTCCCAGCGCAAACAGAACCTTAGACTTTTCTTTAACATTGACCAAGAACTGCATGGACCTAACATTCGATCTCATTCAGTATTAAAAGGGGGAGGGGGAGGGGTTGCAAGCTGCAATAGAGACTGTAGATTGCTTCTGTAGTGCTCCTTAAGAATACAAAGCGGGAGGGGTCGAGGGGGGGAGGCGGGAGGGAGGCTTGTGAGAATGAGGCTGAGCCTACAGATGAACTCTTTCTGGCCTGCCTTCCTTAACTGTGTATGTACATAAAAATATTTTTTAATTTGATGAAAGCTGATTATTGCCAATAAACAGCTTCATGTCTTTGTAAGTTATTTCATGTTTGTTTGTTTGGGCGTCCTGCCCAGTGTTGTTTGTAAATAAGAGATTTGGAGCACTCTGAGTTTACCATTTGTAATAAAGTATATAATTTTTTTTTATGTTTTGTTTCTGAAAATTCCAGAAAGGATATTTAAGAAAATAAAATATTGAAAAAGTACCCCTCCCCCCACCTCTTTTCTGAATTATCTATAGATTACCTATCTAGATGGAGTTAAGAGTGTCCATTAAAATCACTCTCAGTGCTTCTTACTAACAAGCAGTAAAAACTATTCTCTACTGGGCTTGAGAAATAACTATGGTTGATGCTCTCACCAAGTTATGCTCTTCCCTCCCCCACTGTCTAGGTAGAGTTGCTTACAAAGGATAGTGTGGCTTTTAAGGGGGCTGAGAGAGGGGAGGTTGTGGTGAAGAGGGACAGCCCACTGGGAAGTCAAACACTTTAAAGTTTGGATTATCAAGTGGCATGTGCTGTGACCATTTATAATGTTAGTAAAAATTTAACAATAGATGCTTATTCTCAAAGCAGGAAAGCTGGCAGATTTTTACAAAAGATGTATCCTTCCAATTTGGAATCTTCACTTTAAGAATTCCTAGATTAAAAAGATGGTCGTTGCTTATGAATATTTATAACAGCATTCTTGTCACAATAAACGTATTCAAATACCAGTAACAGATCTTGAATTGCTTTCCCTTTACTACTTTTTTTCTTCCCAAGCCCTATATTGAAGCTTTTCTTTTCAGTTCCAGGGGTTAACATTACTACCATCTGAAGAACTTAGTAAGAGTCAACACAGAATTGCAATATGGATGAAACAGTTACATTAATTCTTTCTCTCATAAACATCTATGCCTAGACAAATTATCAGTATAGCAGTTGACCATTTTGGATTCTCCTATAGTTTACTTTGTAGTTTATTTTTAAAATAATCAACCTGTTTAATTATTTTGGCATCAGTCTCAAAAGATGGTAATCTATATACTATGGAAAACATTTGCAAGAGAAAACACAAACAGCATCACGATGATTACACGTGTAAATCAAACCTTGACTCTGGGGAAATGGCAAACGTGAATTCTGTCTACAGATATAACTTAGATCAACAAGGCAGCACTCAACAAGGGAATAATTTTTGCATAGTTGTTTTTCATCCCAAGAGCCAGTGTCATTATCAAGCAGCAAAAGCAATTTGATATCTAGGAATATTTATTTCACAAACCACTAATTGAGGCAGGGCTGTTTGCTCATTAGCAGTGCTCTAGTACCCAACAGGTCTGGGAGTACTAATTTCCTGCCCATGGCTGTAAATCCAGAGACACAAAGAGATTCTCCTTAGTATATCTAGAGGTGGAAGAGACTGCACAGGCGTGTAAGCTATCAGATCCACCCCATTCTTAATAACACTTTTTAACAAAGGGTTACTGGGAGCAGAGCAGGGTTTGCCAAACAGTGAATTTGCCGATGTCAGCAACCCGGAAGGTGAGTTGATTTTGACCATATGTAGAAATAGTCAGCAGAGGGACAATAAAGCACTTTGGGGTGGGGCTCTGTGGAAGCTAAACAAGAGCCAACTAGAAAAAATAAGCAGGCTGGAGAATTAATTACCTGCAAAGGTAGACTAAGCCCAGACAACAGTGTAGTACAGAAAAGCCACACCATTCCCCCGTTTGCTTTAGACTCCAGAGTTTAAAAAAAAAAAAAAAAAAGCCTGAAACTCAGGCTTATCTCCACACTTGTTTATTTCAAATAACGTTCCAACCGTATATCCCTGAAATTCTAATAAAAGGGTTAGAAAAAATAGTTGTGGTGATCTATAAACTTTGGAGACAGAAAATCCACTAATTACCTATAGACACTCAAAGTTAATTTTATTTTGGCATTCAATGTTATTGTTTGGATAACACTAATAGTTGGAGAAAACGAAGTTAGTAGTACATAAAGCCATCAATCCTCTTTTTGTTTTATATGCGAAAATATGAATATTTCCACTAGAAAATTTTAACCCCTTATGTCCACGGGAGCAGAGGGTTCATGAATGCAATGAAAATGCCTATAAACGTGTGTGTGTGTGTGTGTGTGTGTGTGTGTGTTTGAATGTGCACACATGCTCTCACACACTTCCTGGGGAGAGAGATCGTTAGCTTTTATTTGGTTCTCACAGAGTTCCATGACTCAAAAGAAGTTAATAATTCCCAAGCTACACATTCACTCTAAGAAGCATATCTTTGTGTGCATCTGAATCCCATGCCTTTTCACCTCTCCATGCTTCAGCTTGTGCTCATTGCTCTGCCTGATATACTTTTCCTTCTGGTTCCACTGATGAATCCAACCCATTTTTCAAGGTTGGGCATAAGTGGCACCTTCTCTGTAAAGCCTTTTTTGCTAATTCCATCTTCAGGGGGAATGAATGTTCCCCATAGAGCACCCATAACACTTTATCAAAACTTCTATGATAGCACATTATGAACCTCTGTATCTCCTGGCTAGAACCCTATCCTCCTCATCTGTGGACCCAGACTCCTAGTACACTGCCTGGCATATACAGGATGTAAATGTGTGATGACTGAATGAACAATGGGGCTTACATCCTCCTCCAAAATAATTCCAGGTCTTAATTTCTTCGGGCGAAATATAGCTCATTTGTTTCCAGGTACGCAGTTCCAGATGGATTGAAGACCCCCAGAAAAGCCAAATCTGGGCAATCACCAAGTTCCAAAGCCTAGTTCTCAGTGCGTGATCTTAATAGAGTTAAGCTCTCAGCACATTCATTCTCCCAGTCACAGAGTCCCTTCACCCCCCACTAATGCAAGCGGGCACCTTCTTATATTAAAGGGGTCTGCCTGAAACACTGGGCTTGGAGGTAGAGATGGGAAAGAATAGTAAGTGGTCATTTGGCAGGCACCAAAAAATAGTTCCAGATGTGGCTTCGTTAAAAGCAACCACTTCATTGGTATTGCCAGAGAGGATTTTATGTCTATAAAGTTAATGTATTTCAGGGGTCCAGAAGTCAGTACCCAATATTTGCTTGATGGTGACAATGATTGTGATAATGTATCTATTGCCCAGGTTCTTTTATTGTTAGAGAATATGTGCATAGGATGAACCAAGGAAAAGACGAAGCCTTTTAGTCCGCCCAGTCCCTTGCTTCCACCACCTACTTCTAAGTTGGTCATGTGAAATGTCATAGGGAAGAGCTTTTTTTTAGAAGCTGGGCTGACACCAGAAAGTAAAACTAGCCCTCGCTTACTCTGGAATCTGGCCCAGTTATTTGGTTGGACTTTTGACATCCCACAGAAGGGCATTCCCTGGGCCTGGGTCTCCTTGAGGCCCTGTGCTAAATGTGGGTATTCAATGATGAGCAAGACACAATCCCTAAGTTTAAGGAACTCATGGTCTAGTGGGGAGGAATGTGCAGATAAAGCAGAAGGAAGTGCCAGTGAGGGGAGGAGGAGCCAATTATCAGGAAAGACTTCATGGGAGAGGTAACATTTGGGCTGACCCAGTGGGACTCACCAGGCAGGAGAGGTAGGAGGAGGAACTTGTGTGCAAAGGCACGGGGACATAAAAAAACATGGTGTGTTTAGAGACTTGAAAGCTGCTTGTGAGGTTGGGAATGAAGATATGAGAGGGAAAATGAAGGGAGATGAAATGAGGAAGTTTAAGGGTTAAGACAAGATAAATGAACAAACAAACGAAATAGACACAGAGAGCAGGCTGGTGGTTGTCAGAGGGGAGGGGGATTGAGGGACTTGGTGAAAGAGGTGAAGAGATTAAGAAATACAAATTGGTACTTACAAAATAGTCACGGGGATGTAAAGTACAGCATAGGGAATATAGTCAATAATATTGCGATAAGTATGGATGGTGCCAAGTGGGTAATGGAAATATCAAGTGGAACACTTTGTAAAGTATATGTTTATCTAACCTGAAACCAATACAAAATAATACTGTGGGAAAATAAAATCAACAGGTGTATTTAAAAAAAATTAAGGGTCAGGTTGTTAAGAGTTTGGATGTTATCCCGTAAGTGATGGAGAAATGTAGGAGTAGAAGCAGAGCAGGAATATGACTCTCTCAACTTAAGAAAGAGTCATGCTCGCAACCGTTTGGATGATGGACTGGTGGGGAAAAGGCTAGGGAAGGTGTGTAATACCAAAGAGAGGTTTTTAGTTTAATTTAAAGTGCCTGTGGTATTTAAAGTAGTTCTAGAGTTGGGGAGAAATGGGAAGAAGATGGCTTGGTTCAAAGCTAGATCATGCCACAGTTCTTCCTACACAACTTTCTGAGAAGTTAGGCCTCAGGAGGGATATCAGAAGTTGACTTTTCACCTAGGCTGCTTGTCCATATTTAAGTTTTCCTCTCTACTGTGTCAATCTGGCACATGAAGGAAGGAAAATCATCTTACCAAACGGTCCAGAGCTCCCCTGCTCAGTGTCAGTATCCTCAAATGCACAGATGTGAAAGGAAGAGGCTTGTGACTACCTAAACTACCTAAACTGGTTTGATGGTCACAGTACAGAGTTGGTCCTCACCACTGCAGGACCAAAACCTAATTTTATCTAATCACCTAGGATTGATTAAGTTCAGTGGGATGAACTGGCCCAAACTATACAAATTCTTTGATGTATAAACTAAGAGATGGTGGTTTTATTTATGTTGGGAGGATTGAATTATAACACTTTACATTCATATAACACTCATTTTATTGAGCAGGCAAATACTGAATTCCTATTTCCTACCAAGCACTAGAGATGCAGTGGAGAAATCCACAAGATGCCTCCCCTCATGGAGTTTATAATCTGCTAAGAGCCACCCTAAACAAGGAAACACACTAATAAATGTGTGATTCTACATTTTGACAAGTACAGTTGGCCTTTGCACAACACAGGTTTGAAGTGTGAGGATCCACTTATACACAGATTTTTTTCACTAAATACTGTACATGTATATTGTCTTCCGTATGCTTTTCTTAATAACATTTTCTTTTATCTAGCTTACTTCATTGTCAGAACAGTATATAATACATGGAACATAAAAAATATGTGTATATCAACTGTTTTATATTATCAGTGAGGCTTCCAGTCAACAGTAGGCTATT